TTGGCTTTTTGTTGATGCATTGAAACAGCAGAAGTTGTTTGAGAACATATTTCATTACTGCTTATCGACTAAAGTTTTTTTTATTATCTTGGAGCGTGACCTGTTTCTGGCCGAATAGTGGTAATCTGTTGAATATGACTCTTAAAAAAATAATGTCCACAGTATATTATTGATCGATGTATTTATTCATCCATCATCTCCCATGATCTTTTGACTGCTGGATGAAGGCTCCCTAGTTCATTGCCATTCCTCATGGTCTTGCAATACCACAATCGATCTCCCTCCTACGCATGAGTTAACCTCATCACTCCATCTGCGCAGTGGTGGTCATCATCATCTTGGATGCGTTCCTTCCTTTGGCTGTCATTCTGTCACCAACGTGGCCCCGTCGGCCGTCACATTCCTAGTCACGATGCATCCTGTCCAAGTGTACAATTGCTGTTCTTCACAAGCTATATGATCAATCTAATTTATTGTTCTCTAACCCATATTTTAGTTTTTTGTCTCTTGGTAATGACCAGAAATCATCTCTCCATGTTTATTTTATACAATTCAGCCTTTTTTAAATCCTTTATATTAAGTTCGCTTGCTTGCTTGCGTGCTTGCTTGCTTGCTTACGACCGTGCAAATCTTTCGGTCGTTTTTTAACCCACTTCCCGTGATCCAATCGAGCTGACATTTTGCACACAGACTCGTTGTGCGAGACAATTAATGTTCGTGAAAAAATTTTCTCCAAAATTTTACACTGTTTAGGGATTTTTTTTAAAATATTTAATTACCAATTGCTTAATACTGGCAGACGATCATCTGACCCATAGGTGGCAGCCATCTCAAGCCAGAGGACAAGAGGACTCTAGCCGCCACGCATATAAAGGATTTATAGTGAAAAACTTTGTTTTTACGGGTTATCTTATTTTCAATTTACTTTGTTGGGTGTTCATGTTTATGGCTATAGGTCACATGCACCGATTTATAACTTTTTTTCTCGAGGCACATCAGAACGTCGCATTTCAGTGTCCAATTATATTTCCCTAAAGTTCTCTAACCTGCTCTTACTCGCCTCTTTTACGTAATAATGTTGATGCTTTCAAGAGTAGCTATACAAACTCGTGTATTTAACGTTTGTCCTGTCAGCCACGTATTTTCTACTGTTCATTGTATTTGTTCTACTTACTTTTCGCTTTATTTACTTTTAGTCCCACTCTAAAGCCTTCTTTGACAAAAACTTTTAATCATTCGCTGCATTTCAATTCCAAATGAACTTTAAATGCACACACTTTATACACCTTATAAACTCACGCAGTGCCACGGCAGGGCTGTAGAACTTAAGACACAATTTGGCGGGGGTTCACATAGCATGATGGGTGATGTACATCGGCGTCCGCTGTGGGTTCATGAAGAAGTGTTATGCAATATAAATGTTATCACAAATGTAATCTCATGCTGCCCGAATTGGTCTGTTGAGGTGAGCAACTCGGTCGAGTTCACGGTCTCCACTGGACATTCACTTAAGGGACCTCCCAAAATGATTTGATCTCTGTTTGGCGCACAGATGTGAAAATAAACATGTCTTTAGAATGCGCTTGTATAAAGGGCAGTGGGCAAGGGTTAGAATTTATTTAAAATTGGGGTGTCTGATCCCAGCTCGAGCCAAATGTAGTACCAATGTATCATGGGTCAGATAAGATTCACGCCGGCCTATTTATTTTTATAGATTGTCAGCTGTGCAATCTCGTGATGTAACTGCTATTCTATTTCTATTTTAATCTTGGGATACAGAGGTGTGGGGGGGGGGGCAGAAGAGCAGTGGGGAGTCTACTTCACAGAACAGATCCAGCCAATTAATTGGTGAATGCAAATGCTGTTATTTTCATAAATAATCAAAATTCCACTGATGTTCTTTCAACATACATTTTGCAAATCCAATATAATTTTGCAAACCTTACATTATATACATCAATTGAACTGTAATTTCTTTAAAATAATACAATTTAAAAAATCTATTTTACTTCAAATATAGTGGCTCTGACGTCTTGTGTGTGCGTAGTCAGGCACTAAGGCAGTTTAATAATTGTCACTTCATGGGCACTGTGAGTCACGAGCTGAGAGGTGGGTTTTCTTTGAAATCACACGCTCCACTCGTACGTACTGTGGCAAAGTCCACTTTGAAAGGATTTAAAAAAAAAAAACCTTTCACTCAGCAGAGCAGCAGTTGGCTGATTTGTGAGCCAATCGGAGAATGAAGCTAGCCGTTCTATTGCGCAAGCGGTCCTTGTATGATTGTCTCACTTTGCTGCGGTGTGCGAGTCTTCCGCACATGCTGCGGTTATACTTGCCATTCATGGAGGTAACTGGCACCACACGTTGTTGTGCATAGACACGTGACATCGTTACAGGATGCCCGTCTGCGTTTTGGCTTCAAAGTTGGCAGGGCAGTCCCATGGTCGTCATTTGCAGTTGGACAAAGTTTGTATTGGCGCATTTTGCAACAGACATTCTGGGGCATCTCTGCTAATGAACTGAACGGTGGAAGCTGTATGGTAAATGATTGGTGAACCATGGACTTTGGGTTAAAGTGGATTTTTTTAAAATGAGAAACGGTTGAGGGGCAGGGTGAGAGAGACAACTAAATCTGTTTGCTTTCATGAGATCACTCTAAAGGCTTCCAGCAAACACTGAGGTACAGTATATCCTTTGAGTTATGCCTTGTTTGAAGATCGCAGGGCTAATTGTACAAGTTTATACAGCTATATATTACATATTTTTTGTTTAAATTAGCAATGTACATCTTGACTTAAAGCTTTCGTGACTGCAGGAATTCATATGCTTTGGGTCTTTCAGTCACGTGACTTTACCGAAAGACCCAAATAATAGAAATGTACAATTATAGTGTTGTGACTGTCATTACACGTTACGCTATCTATGCATTCTATGTGCGTGTATTCTTCTTTTCCTTCAGCTGAATTGTTGGTTCCTGTTTTCGTCCCCGTCTGTTTTTCAGTACCGATTTGAAATGACCATATATTCTTGTTAACACAAGAGGTTGTCGTGCTTGCTTGTTCTGGCCAGCTTGATAATTGGGTAGCAGGTCTTTGCATTCAGGACAAAGCTGAGTTTTTTTGGGGCGGGCTTGCCTTCCAGTTCTGACCCATTGCCCCCCGCTGTGTCTAGGCTTTGTTTGGTCTCTTCTCTGACCCAAGCCTTTGACCTGGCCACGTGGGGTGCCAGGCTTCCCTTTGTAGATAAATCAGGGGCTTTCCGGCTCTTTTGGCAGAAGTGCTTAACAAAAAGAAATTAATTCTTGTGTTCAAGAGGCCACTGGAAATAGCGCCTATCCTATTTCGATATGTTTTGTTCATTAAAAGGTAAACTATTTAATTTTAGACGATGGTGTGAAGGGGATTGTGTTTTTTCCTCTCATTATTTTTTAGGTCCTTGAATACACTTTTGTGGAAAATGGTTAATTAGGTTTGGTGCTTTGAGAATTGGCTTTGGAATCTATAATTTTGTACCAACTTGCCTCTATTACAAAACTTTTAAAATATGTTGCGCATGTATTTCATCTTAATATTGTTTTTAATGAAAGCATTATTTATTAATTTGTTTAGAAACAATATTGTGTTTGTTGAATGGAAGGGTTTGCATGCAATGTATCTGTATGGGGCCCTTTTAAATTAAATGGAATATCGAATTCGTTTTCTTATTGATGCTGCAATGTTTACAAATATGTTAGGATTACAATGTTTGAAATAATTTTGAAGGTAATCTTTTTTTTGTCTCTTGTAAAAAAATGCAAAATAATAGTTAAAAACATTTAAAGAAGTATAAACGTGCATTATTTTTCCATAAACATTTCTCGAAGTAACACAACAAAGTTCATTATGAATCATGATTACGACGCAATTGGAGTTTGTTAATTTGCCTTAACAGTGACTCAATGGTATTAACGCAATCTTCTTTAAATCCTTTGCATATACGTGATCACATTCCATTATATATATCAAATAATATCATGAATGGATACTGATTGTCTATCTCCTGCCCTCCCCCACCCATCTGTGTTTTCAGAGCTAGCTGAAGGTGTATCCCAGCCAGCAGGCATGAATGGCAATGTGCCTTCTCCTGCTGCGGCGCAGCCGTCTGCCATCCCGCAACCTGGTGCCAGTGCTGGCAAGTCCTGGCGAGGAACCAAGGCTGCCGGTGCCAAGCACAGCGCTGCCCCTGGAGGATCAGGTGCCAAGCAGCCCATACCTGCTGTCACGCAGGCTTCCGCCGAGCCCTCCGAGAGCCCTGCGCCAAAAACCGCCGCCGCGCCTGCAAGCTCCAACGGCCAGAAGTCCATGCTGGAGAAGTTCAGGCTCTTCAATTCCAAGAGCGGCTCCAAGGCCACGTCGACACCAGCTGCCGGCCTTGCGGCGGCATCCGACGGGCCGGATAAACCCGAAGCGACCCCGGCCCCGGTGGAGCAGAATGAAGTGGGAGAAGAGCTGGCCGCAAATGGCCCAAAGATTGCCCTCAAAGGTATTGCGCAGAGGACTATTGGCCGTGCGCTGAGCAACAACAAAAAAACGACAATTAAGAGCGGCGAGAAGGAGAAGGGCAAAGTGGCCACTCCTGTTCCAGAAGCAAACAAAGTGACAGAGCCGGATTGTAGAGCAGACACTGTGCCCGAATCGTCAAAAAAGTCCTCCAAAATCGCCAGCCTCATCCCAAAGGGAGGAAAGTCAGGTCAGGCAGCAGCAGGCAGCGCAGTCTCCAAGAAGGAACCCTCGGCTGGCCCGGGGCCGGCATCCACTGGGATTCCCAAGCCGGGCTCCAAGCTCGCGAGCGCAAAGTCCGCGGGCGGCGCAGGCAAAGAGAGCGAGCGACTGCGCGCCAGCAAGAGTGGCACGCACCTGCAGCAACACCTGCAGCCGGCGGCCGAGAGTCGCACTTCAAGCTCCACCAGCTTGGCGTCATCCGAGGGAGGCAGGGCGGCCGCCGTGCCCTGTGGCCCTCAATCTCAAGCGCCGCAGCTCCAACAGCCATTGTCCACCCGCCGCCGCCAGCGCCGCCAGCGCCGCCGTCGCCGCCGCCGCCGCCACCACGACAGCTGCCCTTACGTCTCCATCTTCTGCCGTCAGCCCGGCGACGGTCTCCATGACAACCAGCACCACGCAGACGACAGGAATCAGCACCGTCGGGGTGCAGCTGCCTCATCCCCAGCAGCAGTACAGCCACCCAAACACGGCCACGGTCGCTCCCTTCATGTACCGGTACAGTGCGGCCTTGGGAAGGCTCGAGCCCTGTAGCGAACGATTAACAATCTTTCTTTGGGCACGTCTTTCTAAAAGTGTGTTTCAATTTTCACATGTAACTTTAATGGCATAGGCCTTTGAAAAATGCAACCATACCAAATCAGGCACTTATCTCCCCCAAGACCTGCACTTGATGATTTTTTTTTAAACACTTTGTAAGTATATATTTTTAATATGTACATGAAAAAAAATGCATTACCTCAATTGTGATTTTTAATGTTCGTGTATATATTACCTGTTAGCGCTATACCAATGATTACAATTTGCTAACAATGTAAATACATAGGACTGCCTTCTTATTAACTAGGCCATAATCTTATTACATGTCTTTTGTTAGCCATTGATAAGTTAAATAAAATCGGTGATGTGTTTTCGGGTTGTGCCGCACGTTGCTCGGCATAACGTCTGAAATTTTGCTCCACGTGCCTGGGAACTTCTTCGGGAAATGAATAAGTTCCCAAAGAAGTGTACCAAGTGAGCTATTACCGCACAAAATGCAACTGCGAAAAAATGTTGGTATGATTTCTGTGCCTCAGGACCCACACGGACTGCGACGGAAATGTGCCTCTGGTCATGGAGGCTGGACAGAACCTGGGTGCTCACTCGGACCCAATCCTGTTCAGCAAGTCTGCACAGCAGCCGTGCGTCGACGACCTGCCTGGTAAAGCCACTGCTGCTCTTGTCTGTTTGTGCTCCCAGTGATTATATAGCTATGCTTGTTTTTGCCACTTTATCTTGGCCTTACGCAGTGCGATTAAGCCTGCTTTGAATAAAATGGGATTCATTTAGGGCAGAGCTGATTCATTAAAAAAAATCAGCTTGCATGTCTGGTCAGCTTTGTTGATTTTTTTTTGCCACTTCATGACTAATTTTTTTTTCTGAATGATATGAGAAAAACGGAATGGCTTATGTAATGATTTAAAAGAAAACAATATAAATACAATAGTATACGTCAACTAACATGTATAACAATATTTATGAATAATTCAACAGCCGTGCACATCTTGATTTTAATATATATTCTATACATTTTATGCTAAAACAACTTTTCCAGGACATGACAGAATTGTTACTCACAAGGCATAGTGTTTCATTTTCACAAGTGTTGTGGTGGAGTAAAATTAGTAACCACGGAAGCAATTACAATAATCCAAACTCATAACAATACATGCTTGTATTGTGGGCTTTAACCGCACAAAATGTATTTAGTACCTACTATTAATACTTTTATAATTAACACATTTCCAGATTGTCTTTTTCGATGTTTTTTCCCCCCTTTGCAAAGGTTTGTGCCACGCTTGCCAACACCCATTGAGGCTAATTATTTTGTATATCTACTGTGGCAGCAGAATTTGGCATTTCCTAAGTAAAAGGAACATTGCATAGATGAGTCAGTGAGTTAATGAGGACCAAAATAGACATTGTTTGTCCCACTACTGTTTTCTATGTTTACTTTGCGATTGAAGTCAAGATTTAAGAGACAAGGGATTAGGCCCAAGAGCTTTAATTGTGGTTAGACAATGGTGTTGGGAGACAACACGTGCACATTGAAGATTACTAAAGGGGGAAGGAGAGTGATAGCTCATTTACAGAAAAAAAAAGCTTTGGTTAATTCACATTTAAATTGGACTGCTTCGATAAGAATGTATAGGGAATCTGCAAAGTGGCATTGCTGGTTTTAACAATGGCCAGTCAGGGACAGCCAATTGAGAGCGTTGTTTCGGTTCCCATTTAAATGTATTTAGTGACGTTTCTCAGGCTGGACTTTCATCAAATTGGGGAGGCTTCAACAACAATACACTTCAAGAAAAAGTTACATGAAAATTTTAATTATAATGCGTCAGTTCTAACGGTGAAGCCATTGTGTTTTGCATTGGAAATTCCAGTGTGATGTTTCTGCTCAAGGCACAGCTGCTATCCTGTAGATACCCATACGGCAGAAGAGCAAAGCAGCCCCATCTGGCGACTAGTCTGCACATGACATGCATGACATGTGGAGACGTCGCTAATCGACTCGGCGTCGGTAGCAGTCGATGGGGGGTCATAGATACGAGTTTTGGTCGTTACTGTGGGAGTCTTACTGACTATAAGAAAGGTCGCAAAAGCGGTAGGTCGCAAAAGCAGAAGCTTGCCAGTCGAGCCGTTGTAAATCAGGGACCACCTGTATTTACTATCTAATATTTGCCATATATTCATTATGAATGCATAAAAATCCATTGTTGTACTGTACACCCATGCTCCCACATCTACGTTACCTTTACCAACCTGCATTGAGCAGCTTAGTGAAATGTGGTCAAAATAACTCGTCCAGCGGTGGATTGGCAATGAACTTTACACGTATGGTAAGTTACAAGCTGCCTTGGCTTCTGCGTGGAGGAGACATGGGATGTGCTGCTCTGATGTCGATAGTAGGGGAGGATGCCGAGACTCGGAGAATGAGAACCGTGAAGAACATCGCCGACTTGCGCCAGAACTTGGAGGAGACGATGTCAAACCTGCGGGGAACGCAGATCACTCACAGGTTACTTGCTACACACCGGTTAAATTTATATCAACGAATCCCCTTTGTAATTTTTTTCTTTCGAACATCGGCCGGTCACCAATTCGTCGTCGTCCTTGACCACGATCGTGGAAGTCACTTCACCGCCCTGCCTACGTTTACCGTTCCCCACAGCACGCTGGAGACGACTTTCGACGGCAACGTGACGACGGAGGTGAGCGGCCGCGGGCTGCTGGGCATGGGCGGGCGTGCGGCCGCCCAGACGCCTCTCTCCTGGCGGCTGGCGCAGGCCAGCAGCCCACGACTGCAGGCCGGCGACGCCCCGTCCCCTCTGGGCAATGGCTACCCGCCCCGCGCCACCGCCTCCGGTCGCTTCGTGCAGCAGGAAGCCGTTGCGGCGGCAGCGGCTTCTGGGGGCGGCGGCGCCCCCGCAGGGCGCTACCTGCGCAGGGCGGTGCCGGGCCGTGGGGCGGGCTGCGGCCAGGCCGGCGATGGATCTGAGCGAGCGGACGGCGAGATGTGCGGCATGGGCGCCGACGCGGCCGGCTACATGAGCGACGGCGACGTGCTGGGAAAGAATCTCCGCAGCGAAGACGTTGCGAGCGGGTACGATACATTTGCCAACCTATTTTGTTTCTTTTTTTGGGCGTTTGCAGGCTAATTGTCTATGTTAAGCATAATTCAGGAACTGTCCTGGCAGTGGTGAACAAGTACAAATAAAAAATAACTGGACTCACCACCAACCTCTGTCATTGACTGAAGAAGACCATTTCCTGAATAACAAGCTTATGTTGTTCTGTATTACTCTACTGCCATCTCCTGTCCATCACACAACCAAAGGTCCACCACCAGCAGTTATTCTCCAGCAGTCTACCAACAAACTACTAACCAGGCTGAGGATTGCTTGGCTTCTGAGATCCGTTGACATCGGGTGCTTCTGGGAGATCTGGTCTTCGGAAATGTCAGGTTATGTGAGGTCTTGGAATAGATTTTAATTAGTGACGGTATTCCATTTGAAGTTAATTACATTAGCCGTGATGTTGCTTCATGTGCAATTTAACCTAACCCTGTTAAATGTGCTGAGGAGGTTACATTTTTTTTCATCCCCAACACATTTATTCTAAGATGAGATATAAATTACATTGAGTAAAAAAGATACATCTCCACATGACCAGAATATGAGCTATTGAATTTTCTTTTTTTAATATGGAAGACTCCTACGATATTCCTGTGTGTCATTTATTAATTATATTCCCTCATAATTAATTTAAGTGACACTTCATCAAAGGCCATTGCCTATCCACTGCTAGATGAAGGTCTCCCCATTCCGTTACGCACTCCTCAACCCACAATGCATCGCACTCCTGGACAGGAAATGATCTCATCACTTCATTTTTGCAATAGTTTTTCTCTCAGATGATGTCTCTAAGTTAGCTTATTCTCTAATCTATGCATTGTCTCCTTCTGTCTCTCAGTGTGATTTCAAGCATGCGTCTCTCCTTTAAGATGTTTGTTTCATTTGTTGTGTTGATGTTTCTGATCCATTTCTCAGTAATTTGCACTGTTTGAAAACTTTGTTCTTCAGGCACATAAGGGTGTTACTTTTCTTCACCGTGTTCAGCTTTCCAAAGGCACTCAATTAATGCCTGAAAGCAAATATATGATTTGATGAATATTTGGCAAAATTTCTACTTTTGCTGTAAACCTGACTTCAGTATGTAATATTGACAATGGGAAGTTGCCATATTCCCTTCTGAGGCATCTTTGGTGCAAATGTGCACATGAGTTTATTAAATAATTTGCGAAACAGCTGAAATGCCACAAAATGTAACTAGTCTTGGTAGAAACAAAGATTAAATTAATGTTTAAATATCCATGAGCTGAACGCAAATAAAATGAAATATTCAGCATTGTCTTTAGCAACAATATATTAGAGTCGTTTTGGCTGAGTAATCGTAATCATAGGTGTTGATGTTTCATCAACATATACTACATTTTAATGTGTTTTAAATACCCTATGCCGGATTCATTGGTGTTGAATAATATATACCATTATCTCGGTTTTGTATTTGTTTCTGAAATTTCACAAACAAATTAATTTGAACAGAATAATTCACGACACATTACATTTTACGATCAGCGGCGGTGTCTGTGCACGTGCTGAATATTTATGTTATTTCATCCCGTGAATATCTGCACCAGTGAATGTGTGATGAAAGAACAAGTGGCAGAGGTAATGAGCAGCTTTTGAAAATGAGCTGATTAGCTGAAGTTAAATTAGGAACTCGGGGCAAGCTGCTGCGATCTTCCTTCGGCATGCAGCCTTGCGACTGTAATGCCATAACATTATCTTGGCGTGCTTCTTTTAGGTCTTCAAAATCTGCAATCTCTGTTAGGTCTTCCTCTCTTTCCAGTTCCTTCCATTTTTCCATCCTATATATGTGTCCAAATAGTGCCAGTTTCCTTCTCAAGCATGATCCGGTTTGGATCCTGCCTGCCGTGTTGTGCAGCACGATGATGTTAATGTCACGCATGTTTCTATGGAATGGAAGTCATTGACCCTTTGCTCAACCATTCTGTCACTAATCCCCTGCGCCCGGTCAGCTGATACGTTTATTATTAGTGGCAGTGGGTCACTGGAGGGCTTCACGTCCCAATAACTTATCTAAGGCTCAGCTCAGCCATTTCGCTTGCCTTGTTAATGTATTATTGTTCTTATGTATGTCGAATACTGAAATAAAGTATTGCTGTACATATTAAAGTGATACCATCTATAGCTATTTAATGTTCATTCAGTGAATGACACATTGGAAAAGGTCTGCTGGGAGATGCAAATTCAATCAACTATCCATTTTGCTAATTTTATTAAAGATCTTTTTATTGTATACCTATTTATCAACTGCCAATTAAAATGTCTGAGCAAGTTGTAGTACCTGATATATATATATATATTTTAACTTAGAGGCAATGTCACGTTTACAGGATTGTTTAGTCCTCATTTGGAGAACTCTTTCAAATCTAAATAATTCATTACTTTTATGTTTCTAAATTGTCAAATCTTGGGCCATTACACTGAGACACATTGACGTTCTCTTCCAAACGATGCAATGGGGATCACCGTGGCATACTTTGTAGCAGACAGCACGCTTTGAAAATTATCGGTAGTGTTCCAAAGCGTTTGCTGGATTTGAACCTTTGAGCCCACGCATGATGCCTCAGTGGCAAGCTTGCTGACCACTTCTCTTTTTACCCACCGTGAAGTGATCTCTTACACTTTCGTTTGACTAAATATATGGAGCTGTTTGCATGTCAGGCCATTAATTTGCTGCTAGAATGCGTCATGACGAGCCCTGTACAGTGGACTGTCACCACATACAGACAGGAATGTGGCAGCCCTGTAGAATATCTACAGCACTGCAGCAGATTCCATAAATTAAAGCTTCACTGGCTGAGTGAACATAGTGAATACAGCTGCAAATGTCATATATTTTAATAGATTTCATATATTTACTCTATTAAAATGTTTCTAAAATCACGTGTCTCATACTTAAAGAGCATCTACTCTTCCATATTAATGACTGAATTGTAATCGCTTATACATTAGTGAATAGTCATTGCACAAGGTAAAAACAATACTTCTGTGGCGAACGCCAAACGTTTATTGAGGGATGTGCTTCGTACAGCTGCATTCATAACACTCACAGTGACTTTAGGAAAGTGTTAGACCGTGGGCTGGCTTGAAAGCATATGCAATCGTTTATATCGACACATGAGGGGCCTACAAGATAATGAGGATCAGAATCAGAATCTTTATTTAGACTGGAGGAATCAAGAGTATGGAGGAATCCTATGAGCTATAAAGCTCTTTTAGTATGGGCAGGTCAGCAAGTTACGACAGAAAACAATACAAAAAACGATTGGAGTGCAAAATAGAGAAAATGATAACCAAGTCACTAAATATGAACATATAATTAATTGTTTACGTCCAATTCAGCAAGATTGTGCAAGGCAACAAAAAAACCCCAACAAAACGGTCCCAGACCGCACTAAATAATCGCACCTCCGATTAGCACGGTCGGCTACGTACGGTGCGAAAGAAGTTCAACCAACATACACACGGACATAAATGTCCCAAATATACATTCAGCTGTATGGGTCTCATCAATTTGAGTAACCTATTTTGAACACATTGCCGCGGTAGCGTTTGGCAGACGGAGCAGTTTGGGTTGCAGATATGTCCAAACACGCTGCCACCCCCCCCCCCCCCCCAATTTTCAAAAATACAACCCAAGCCAGATGCCAGGCCCACTTTCTTGTCTGTCTCCCCAAATCCCAGGGATGGATATCTGTCCAGCTCAGTGGCATGGTGGTGGTGGGGGGGTCTCATGAAAACAAACCAAGTTCACCTAGTCGATGACAGACCGTCCTGTTGGGCATATCTCAATTTGGAAGAGGAATTTTGGATGGTTGAATGTTTGACATTTCCCTTGCGGCTCAGCAGTGTCTCGTCCAGTCAAACCGAGCAGGGGGCTCAGCTCTGCCCTTTTTTCCAATCACCTCTTGCTTTCGGTTCATGGAGTTCGATAATGTTTCGCGGGTAAGTTTGCATTTTTTTATGCTAAATTCAGTTAAATGTTGTAGAACCTTGTTTTATTGTGCTGCATCATTCGGTTGAGTCTTTGTTCACAGTTTGGGTTCTATTCAGCTGATGATTAATATCGGTGATGTTGTGAACGCATAGATAATTATTACAGATATATTATCGCGTGACGAGAGGCGTAGTTTCCTTAAAAGAACAAAAGAATCTTCAAAATTGGAATTGCAGCAATTGCCATTATTGCTGTGACACAATACTACTTGTGAATCATTTTCTCTTGAGATTTTCAAAACCAATATGGGGGGGGGAAGTTATTATTGTTTTACATTGTTAATATTAAGTGTATTTGTAGAAGAGCATCAATGTATAAAGTCACGAAATGTACTTATTTATTTTAAAATACTGTACATGGACTATATAGGGATACGTATTTCTCTTTAACGACGCAACAGAAATACACACCCACACACACAGATATCAAGAAATGACATAACACCTTTGCCATGTTGACTCCAGATAACATAACTTTTGTACCGTAATGATATTTATATGACCGCATTTTAAACAGGGCCCAGTTTTTTCTGTGTAGTTGTAGGATAATGGGAATGTGTTTCATGTATGAAATAGAACACGGTTTAAAAATTGAGCGCTGAAGAGTGTGCATTCCCCTCTTTACGTTAAACCAAAAACAACATGGTTGCTGTTTTATGTCTTGCCTCACTCCTTCAGCCTTGGTAAAGTTTTAATCATACCACCGGGATGTTTTTTCTAGGGCTTGTTTGGGTGGGAGATGTCCAAATAGAGGATCAAAGCAAAAGAGAGATAGGAACAAACCCTTTCTCTGGCCTGAAGATTTATTGCTTGGGAGGTCATGACTTTATTACGGGAAGAATGTCTTTGTTACCCTGCCTAGAGGTTGTAATAATTTGCCAGAAGCACTGAGCGGTGTAGCTTACTTATACAGGTGTTGGTGGTTAAGCTTGAGATTTATTGGATGAGCATTTTATATTTTATCAACTAGATTCTGTAGTGCCTTTGCTTTAGTTTATCAGTGGTTTCAAGGCAAGGGGCTATTGCACATGATACTGTATAGCCCATTTGTCAATCCACTGCTGGATGAAGGCCTCTTCCACACTGTGTGGGTTATGGGGGTTATTTGACTATACTTCTCCATGCTGGTCAGTGTTGGTTGGTTATTGTTGAGGAATTACAGAAGAAGAATGGCTTTTGCTGAAATGCCCTTAGATATCAACCATGCCCACAACAACTGGATTTAGTTGTGCATGATGGCTGCCTATCCAAGAACTATCCAGGCTGAAGATGTGATTGGATCAGACACATTCCGGGAAATTTTGTCAAAAGCACGAGCAGCCATTAGTGTGTTAAAGTAGAATTTATCTCTTTTTTAGTTAAATTTATGGTAAAAATATTATATTTTAAAATGTCTAATGAAGAATAATGATGGACCATCATCCTATTTTGCAGACTGGTAATTTATCATTGTGTGCATATTAATTGAAGTAGACTTGTGTTTTATGATTGTCTGCAAAGTAATTTGTAAAAATATTTGTAAACAATTCATGAGACTTTTTGTATTTACCTTATTTGTTTATGTATTTACAATGTATTTATGAATATAGGACATAATTTAAATAGAGCGAAAATTAAATGAGAATTAATTACCAAAAACACAAGTGGTGACCCTTTTCATGTATGCATTTTGTATAATTGGAAAATTGTTTACGTAAATTCAGAACTGTTAAGACAAGCTGCTGCTGCCAGCGCACGAGTGTACACAATTCGAATGCGTGGTTTCGCGTGGCATGCAATTTCACGTTTCGTCAATACCGGTACATTAATTAGTGATCAACATGTGCGTATGAGACTGTTTTTATTCTGAGCGACTGCCACGCTTCAACGAGTTTACTTTTTGTGTATGATTAGCACACTGCTTGTATTCTACTGTTTGGAGCTGCTTAACTCTTCGTGACACTCTGTGACCTCCAAAGGACCATGGCAAATTTGTTTCCACCTCTGGAGACAACTTAACCGATATAAATTGTGTGTCCTGAACACAGCTTTGGGATCTCGGATCATTTGTTCACAGTGTCAGTGTAGCAACTGGGAATGTGAGCTCTCAGACAAAGAGGGGTTATCTGGTCACTGCTGGAAGCCGGGGTCAAAATACGCATTAAGTATTGGAAGTGGCCTTTTTTATGAATTCAGACGTACTTTTTTTTCATCGCGATGTAAAAATCCATCTAGAACCTACAAATAAACTAATTTAATTGCTCCATCTATTCTGCGGCCATAATTTGAGAATTGTTATATTGCTTGTCTGCCACTCGATCACTATTCTCGACCATCGGACATTGTTATGCTTGTTGAACGTCTCTCGCACAGTGTGTAGACAATTGCGCTAATCGGAGGTACGGGGCGGGAGGACAACAAACTAAAAAGAAGAAGCAGTTTTAAAGAAATTCATTTTAAATCTACGTTTAAAAGTGCGTAGCTCCAGTGGATTCCTAATATCAAAAACGAAGAGCATTCCAGACGACCGCAGAAGCGCATCTGAAAGTGTGTGATGTAGAAGTGGCTGTCTTTCATTACTTTTTCCAGCACAGTGTCCAGCCAAAGCTGGCAAACTTTCTTACATTCTCTTATCCATGTGTTCTCTTCATGTCCTCAATGTAATTCCAAGCATGCATCTTTCTGGGTATTTTCGTTTTTTGTTCCATTACTTCCCTTCCCCCAAAGTAGTGGCAATGCGTGTTATGAAACAAGTATTGCAATCACATTAGAAAGATGATTTATAATTTTTTGTATTTTATTGATTAGAATGCTCCGCTATAGGACATCGCACATTTTATACAGTATTGTTATTTTTTTCACTGACAGGGCCTCGTTATTTAGAAAGAGTGATTTTACCAATAACATCTGCCAAACCAGCAGTATTATTTTTTAACACGCCTGACTGCTATTGAGACGCAGAAGGTCTATACTCATCCAGAGGCTGGTAAACTAACACAAATATTATACTCTTTTATGGAGATGTGGAGGTCTGCTTATTTATATTATTAACCAATGCCATAGGTGATATCTGTGGCTACTACAACAAGTTGATGATATACTGTCAGTGCAGATCTTAAAGGTCACGTGTCTACCGTGCAGCAGCTGTGGGTAGAAAGTGTCGGTGAGGTGTGGTGCCAGGAGTGGCTTTGACCCTGGTGACATCTTGATCTATGTGGAATTTACCAGAACACACTTATCCAGACGGTTAGCAAATAGCAAAAAATGAATACCATTACATTCAAACTGCAATCAAGACATACATATAACGTGTGGTGTGCCATCTGGCCTCCGGAGCTCACGTGTGTTCGTTCCTCCTTTGCAGCTACATGACGGACGGTGGCTTGAGCCTGTACACGCGGCGACTGAACCGGGTGCCAGACGGGCTGACGGTCGTGCGTGAAGCTATGCAGCGCGGCGTGCCCCTGGCTGTGGGAGACGCAGACAGGTACGTGGTGCCCTGTCTGCCGAGGCACCGAGAGTGATGGGGGCCCCTCGTTAGGGCCTGGTGGGGCTGGGCTCCACTCGTGAAATGACAAAACTTCCCTGCTCATTATAGAGATTATGAACTCCACACACCCCCCCTTCCCTCCCCATCTCTTCTCCTCACTTTCTCCGCACGTCCCCTACCCCCGTGGGCTTCCATACCCCACCGATATATTTACCCGGCCACCACTGGGTCAACCACCACTGGGTTTGAACAAAATGTGGTCACCTGAACACAGCTGCTTGCTCTGCATGCCAACATACTCCTTATGGCATGCCAGCTTCCCTGAATAATTTTTACCGTTTGACTATTAAAAACAAATGCATCTGCCTGGATGGCACATCGGTAGAGCCCTTGGCTTGTAGTCGGAAGGCTACCAGTTAAAATTCTAGTCGTTGACTCAACTCATCATCCATCCTAGGTCAATTAAATGAGTACCACTCTGTGGGCAAGTCCACAGTGGTTGTCCTATGGAACAACTCATCCCCACCATAAGAATGTGGAATATCCATCCGTGGCTCAGGGATATAGTAAACAAGAGGTGAGTGCTACCCCATGCAAAATTTGGTGGCAAATTTCAAGTATTCAGTGACATTTTTGTGCAGTGATAATTCCAGTTAGGATTTCTAGCAGTTGCTGCCACCCTGCTGAAAGTAACATTTTGGCTGAGGGATAGCATGTAGCTGTCGACTTGTACAGATATATTTTGTACAATATATGTGCATATGTCAATTTCTATTGACATCATCTTATACATTGCTACAGAATACATCATGCAGCATAGTTTTAGACATGTGAGGAACAGAAAAGGAATGTATCATGGGACTTGTTTTCCAGTATCAAAGTATGGTGAACATGCAAACAAACAGAGCATGTTAGTTTGAATGTTCACCACAAGTCCGTGTGGTTAATGCAGACTTGATTCCTTGCAAAAGGTTTCTATTTTATTGCGAGAAAGGGTGAAACCTATTCTTATTTTTCATGCGAAAGGAATGCATCTATGCGAAGTGGTGTTGACTGTCACAATTCTGCCACAACGTTTGTGCGCGTCACGATGTCAGCACACAGTTTTTTTGTGGCTTCCTGTGCACTCCACGTTTTTGTGACTTTTTGTGGGTCTAGACTAATAAACGCTGTGTACGTTTGTGCTTTACATATGAAATTGGATTTACAGTAATTAACACAAGGTGGCAGCATTAGTATGGATTTATGGAGATGATGGCCAAACCCTGCATACAACGCACTGAATAAATATATAATCTTTTACATAAATATGCCATTAAGCGCAAGAGGCGCAGTTCTCAATGCAGTCGTACACTCGTATCTAGAAATTAATATTGCTAGCACACGCATTGAACATTTGCAATGAACTATATTTGTGAAAGCTGGCCATAATGCCAATCAGCATTCAAGATATATATCTTGGAATAATTGCACACCTGCATGAAGAGTAAATCAACTCATAAGCTGACAGTTTTCCCCATTATAATAATTGTAAAAAATTTGCATGCATCTGTTCACGAAAATGAGAGACCATTTCCAGTCGTTACACGAAGACGTGGAGCCAGGCCCTTGGGTCCCTCGTGAGCCCAACGAAACAGATGAAGCCTTCAGCTGTCTCTTTAAAAGTGGTTGTGAATTTAATGCTGATTCTGCTGCTGCTGCTGCTTACTTGTATCAGGAGGCAATTCCAAATCATTGGAGCAGCCACAGAGAAGCGGCGCTCTGCCTGGACCGTCTTGGTTCGGGGTGGGGAAGGGGGGAAGTGAGCAAGTTGAGGGATGAGGTCGTTGAGGAGGACAGCCAGATATTGTGGAAGGCCATGAATTAGAGGTGTGTCAGTGGTGAGTAGGAGCGCAAATAGAGCCAGCGGAAGGAACTTGCTTGGGGAGTTATCAGAAGGATAGGTGGGGTGGGTAAAGATGGGAGGAATATGTAGGAGTGAGATGGGTTCCAGCGACAAAAGAGTAGAAGAGGAAGTGATGTCAGTAAGGACATATTCTGATAGACCATGTGGACTAAAAACGCATTGATTGATAATAATTGTGCTTTATATCGCGTCATTCATGCAAACTGCATTTCACAACGCTGCACAATCCGCAAACACGGAAGTGTGTGTTAATGAAGATCTTTTCAGCGAATGAATGCTTGTTTATACATGTGTAAAGAAACCGCAGCACACGGAGAAAACCTACAAGTGGAAGGGGGCAACACTATTCCGTACAGATGGAACAGATGGAGTTTATTCCACACTTTGCTGTCCCACGTTCTCCTGGCAAGCCAGGCTATGGCACTGTGACCCCAGTGGGAAGGGATTTTCGCAACATTTGTGTATCCACTTAGCCTGCCCTCCACACAGTGCTTGATTACAGGCGTGCATTGCGACCACTCCCCAGCTGATAATGACACACATTCTTTTGTTGAAGACAGGTCAAATAAGGAGAGTAGTTTTAATCATTGAAGTGTGTCCTGAATGGGTTAAACCCATTGTAAAGTAACAGCCAAATATTGCTTTGCAGATAAAGGATGTCTTGTCAGTGTTGGAGTTTGGTGCGAGATGTAACTATGACTAATTTTGTTTGCACTCCCAAGAGTTTAAAAATGATGTATTAGTCATGTCTGATGCAAAGAAGGGAAATAATTATATGAGCAGAAAAATGGCATTGAACGTGTGAAAGTTGAGCACCGTGTCAACAGGAATAAGCAGGAGAAAATATGGAAATATACGCGGCACACAAACATTAAACAGTTAATAATAAAATGTTTTCACAAATAGCGTCGATTCATGGCCATTACTCTGTGATGTTTCTGCCCAGGTCAGTGTCTTGCCATGGTGCCTGATGAAAAGAACGTTTTAGTTCAACGCGTATTGGATCTTTGTGTTCAGGGATTGCAGCTGAAATTACTTTGGTTTATTCCCCATGTAACATTTGTGTGTTCCATTTGGATGTGGCCACAGCTGCGATTTAAACGTGTGACCTTGGAAATCACAGCGGTTTATTTGTAAATTAATTTATGTTTTCTTTGCCCCCCCCCACTCCCCTTCCCCATTATTATTGTCCTGGTGATCTTAAAGGAAATTACATATAAAACTGTTGGTAAGAGAATTCGTGTAATTTAAATTGGCTACTCGACTTATACAATTGCGTGGGGGTGATAGGTTGCTAGGGGATAGAATGGAGACAGATTGGCACAGTATAGAAATAAAAGATAAAGCAATTAAATATCAGCATTCCTCTGTAACAGTTAAACTGGCATGGATTATTGGCATGGATTATTCGAGAGTATATTATCAAAACGATATTTTAATTAAGTTTTGTAGTACTTAAGTATATTTCGGGAATTTCTACCATATATGAATGATGCCCTTGAAAATACATTTAAATACATATAAAAAGAGATGTATTCAACATTTGTCCATATTTACTTGAATGTGCAATTCCAGTACTATTTTTGTGGAGACAATTTGAATTCCATGTGAGCCGTTTTCCTTTTTAGCATTACACATTTCCCTTCAGCTGTGCCACGAGATAATCTTTCCACAGGAACATGTGGTACGAGTCACAGCATCTCTTTCCACCTCCAAGACTTGTGCGAGGTCTTTTTGGTGTGAAGTGATGCCATTGGCATTTTAGCGTGCATAAGGGCCTATGGGTCCCTTGGCTGTGCCTAAAATGACTCCGGCATAGTTCGTGAATTCCTTCTCATGCAGTTGTCCAAACAAGTGAAGTCGTGGTTATTCAGCTGGAGTTAAAACCAGGATGATTAAATAAGCAATGTCATCAACGTGCATGTAATCAATCACGGCCCCGCCCTTAGGCCCTTGGGTTGGCCCTGATGGTGTTTGCCTGACCTTGTGGTGGTCCAAGTGGCAAGGCAGGGCCTAGACTCTAGCTTTCAGACAGCAATTGGTGAGTGGCCTTGCAAGCGTCGTCATCCTTTCAGGGCGATGATATTGAGTTATTGATTGACTCATTTATTAGCTGATATGATTAGTCACTGTTATAACCAAGGTCACAAATAAGTATATGATCCATCTTTTTTAGCTTTTTAAAATGTAGACCACTTTGGAAATGCTTAGGTGCACGTCATGTAGTGTGTATTTAAAGTTCAATTTCTAAGTAAGGTTTTGACATTGAGTTTTTTGATATACTACAGCTCATGGAATTTCCATTTGAACGGTTGAAATGACCTTGGTTTTCAAACGCAGCTGGTTAGAAGAAGTTATTCTGAAATTGCCATCAGTGTGCATGAGGGTTTGCTTTTATTAATCATCCATATAATTTACATTTTACGTGTTTTAAATTATGCATATTAGATAAATGCAGCAGCTTACTTTTTTGTTTTCTGCTATGGAAGCTTTCTCAATGTTGGGTGTATATATTTTTGAGATGCTTGCAGAGATTTGAGCAGCATTTTATGCTGGTAAGAAAAAAAATCAGCCACTCCGTTTATGGTGAAGCTCACTGGGACATCTTTGTGATTTATATTCTTCACGAGGCAGCGTCTGGCTATTGCCACCGAATGTGTAGTTTCAGATTATAATGGCTGTTCTCAAGGTTTTGTTTATTTCATTTTCAATGTTTTAATGGCCTTGGGCTTGTATTTAAAAAGGCAGATACTGCGAGAGCCCCGGAGCACGTCTGTGAAAACTCATCACCAACAAAGTAAAATTCATTGTCATATGTGGAAAATTCTGACATTATCAATCCACCGTTTCTTTAAACTGAAAGTTGGAAAAATAATTTAAAAGATAATGATGAAAAAAATTCTAATTCTTTTAGTTCCATGTATTTCCTGTGCATTGTTTTGTTCGAATTAAAATGTCTAGCTATTGAATGTGGTGTTAACCGCACAGTTAAATGTATACTATAGCTGGGTGTATTAATGCTACTACATTCTATTTTTGGGGGAATGTTAGCAAGCTGCCATTTCATATATATTATTCTTATTTCTTGATG